AAAAAAAAAAAATTTAAAATCAATTTCCATGAGCAATAAGTGCGGTGTTCATTATGTAAGACAAAAAAAAACGATCAATTTCCATGAGCAATAAGTGCGGTGTTCATTACGTGTCAACAAAATCCAATATGGCCACCGTATCCATGGAAACGAAACTTTTTTCTCAAATTTAATTGCGGATTTTAAGACTCCTTACAATGTTTGTTATATTTAGCATCTGCGTTTGTCGCGGTCGCGCGGCCGCGATTTTTGCATAATAAAAAAAAAAAGACAAAACAACAAAGCTACTTCATAACATATTTGACATGTATTTTGATAAGTTTTAAGATGTCCATGTGTACCTATTTTCATGCGGAGAATATACATTACATTATATACTATTTATATTGCTGTCTGTCTTTTATATTTCCGTCTTTGTTGTGTTTTAGTTTGTTGGTGAGTTAATTTTTCTAAAAATTGTTCTGATGATTAGTTGTTTTTTTTTTTTGCGTTTATACAGAGTAATGTCATTTAATTTAATGTTGTTCCTACCCTTTAAAAAATATAACTGTGTTATGTTAGAGCGTGTCTCCACCAAAACCGAAAACTGACACATCCCAATTGTGTGTGATTCCATAATATAATTTACATGTGGTATCCTGCAAGCCTACTTTTTCTTGAATTACACATGTTTAGGGTTAAAACAGCCTGTCTTCAGATAGGTGAACACGCGCCCTAATTAGTTAATTTTTGTGGTTTTATACGTGTTGTTCTAATTTTGATTTCATTCTATTGTGAAACCTTTATTTTTCACGTTTTTCCCCCTTGGTGACTACAAATGATATTCTGGATGCTTAAAACAGAGCACAAGAAATTCTGGTGCTATAGATTGTTACCTCTATCAACATATGGCTATATTACGTCGTTACAGAGAGTTGAAAGCTTGAAAATTGTTTCTCTTTGACAGTTTACTGTTCACAAATCTTTGTTCCTCTCTATGCGGGCTGGGGGTGGAGGGATGGATTGTGAGATGAGAAATAAGTAGGGAGGGAGGGGAGAGGTAAAACCTAATATTTGTTCTATAATTCTATTTCTCATTGCCTAATTCTAATCATCAATCTTTCTTCTCCAGTGAAGGTTTTTTTTCTTCTAACCACCAACCTTTCTTCCCCTGTAAAATGTTTTATCTAATACGGGGTGGCCGTTGGGGGATCGGCTAGCCGATCGCCCGACTCGTAGCCTGAAAACAAACGCGTTTGTTTTTTAGGCGAATAGTCCGGCGATCGGACTAGCAAACCGAACCGACCAGAACCGATCGTGGAAATGGGCACCGCCTATAACCATCAAACTTTCTTCCCCTGTGAACAGTTTTCTCTAATTTCCAAACTTTCTTCCCCAGTGAAAAGTTTTCTCTAACGGAGTGTCTACGTACACAGTAACCAGGCACGTGTCAGTATCTCCGTACACGGTAACCGGGCACGTGTCAGTATCTCCGTACACGGTAACCGGGCACCTAGTCTCAGTATCTACGTACACGGTAACCAGAATGAAAATAAATCAATACTACATATTTTGTCCTGTGCTGTCACTAGCTGAAAAAAAAGGAAGTCATAAAAGTGTCTTGTCGGGCTCACCATCGCGACCATGAGTCAGTGAACCTGCGCGAGTGCATCACATTGTGAATACCGGTTGGGGTCACAAAAATTCATTCAAAGTCTTGGCTGCGAAGTATAGGGCTTCGGAATAGGGGGGATTATTGATTTTTTTAAACGAAAGGTACAGTCGGGGGAGGGGTGGAGATGAAGGCAACACCGGATGACAAAAACTGAACTTGGGGTTCTGAACTGCCCGGTTAGATCTACCCTGTACGTGACACTGAGACTACATGCCCGTTTGCCGGTTACCGAGTAGGTAGATATTGAGGCTACATACCCGGTTACCGTGTACGTAGACACCCCGTTTCTCTAATCACCAACACAGAATTCTACACTAAGTGTAGAATTCTGTGATCACCAATCACCAACCTTTCTTCCTCAGTGAGCGGGTGAGCGGGGGCGTGCCAGGCACCATCCTGCCTCGGCGGGAACCGAAAACGCCCCCTAACCAGGCGGACCGCCCGAACAACTCGTTCCCAGCCGTCGACTCGAACTCGCTGAATGACATGTTTTCTCCGTCGCTCTTTCTGCAACTGGAATAGTGAAAAGAGATCAGGGAGAGGTGATAGAATACATCACCTGTTACTGGAACAACGAAACAAGGTCAAGGAGATAGAAAACAATACCAGCAACTAGAATATTGAGGCAACATCCGGAATATTACTACACCAGCAACTAGAATATTGAAACGACATCAGGGTTTTTTTTTAATAATTAAAAAAAATATATATAGTAGAGGGTTTTACGGCGCTCGCAAATGCATAATAAGGTCATATGAGCGCCAAGGGGTGGGTGTCAACAGAGAAGTCTTTACAGAGAATCAGACTTAGACTGCTCACCTCTCTAGTTTCAACAGCACAAGGTCTGCTTCGACTATAAAGGCACCCCAAAATAGCAGGTCATAAGGGAGTGACAAACATACAAAAGAAGTAGGGGAAAATGACAATAGTAAGGATCAGGAAAGAAAAAGCAGCAGTTCCCTGTTGTAGATTAGGCACAGTTATGAGCGTGACATGAGTCAGCCCATTTACAATTCTACTATGCTTGAACGAGATATGTCCCCCCTTTGGGAATGGCCTAAAGACACTTCAGTCAGTGGCACTGCCCCGGGGGGTACATCAGGGTAATAGAATACAACACCTGAAACTATAATTTCGAAACAGCATCAGGGTAGCAGACTACAACTTCTGCAACTAAAATAATGAAACAATATCAGGGTAGTACAATAAAAATACAACTTCTGCAACTAGGATAATATAAAGCAACATCAGGAATAATGCTACACCTGCAACTAGAGTACTGAAACAACATCAGGAATATTAGTACACCTGTAACTAAGATAAAGAAGCAATATCAGGGTAACATAGTAAAAATATGTACAATATCTGTAAAAAAAAATAATTTAAAAAAAATGAAACATATATAGCGTTGGCATAACATTAGCAAATGTTAAAATAGTGAAGATAAAATGTTGATACATCGAATTTTTACACTGCCCATCTATCATGTTATCGAAGAGATGATCAATATGTTTCTCAACTTAAAAGAAATCATAGGTAGGCCTATGACCAACACATGTACAATCCAGAAAGAATAAAAGTCTCTACTGAAAAAGAAAAACAAATATGACACTCTGCTCGACCACACCCGTACATTCATAAAAACCTAACAAGGGTCTTTGAACGCGGTATGTCAAGCTAGAATGATAAAACACTGCGTCCAGACAATATCAATACAGTAGGCCCCTATGTCAAGCTAGAATGATAAAACACTGCGTCAATACAATATCAATACAGTAGGCCCCTATGTCAAGCTAGAATTATAAAACACTGCGTCCAGAAAATATCAATACAGTAGGCACCTATGTCAAGCTCACCTCTTTATGTCAAGCTAGATAGGAGACTTGATAAGAAATACAAGAAGTGAATATCACTAGAATAATATCTTCCGTGAAAATGAAAGATAGATCCAGATAAGCTTATTTAAGACAACACTTTAAAAAAAACCTCTACACGATAATTTACAACAGTGACGACTATATGACAGTACGAAAAAGCCCCGAAAGACCACCCCCACCCCCTCCCAACCAAATAATATTAAGTTAAAATTTAAGAAAAATAATTACAACAATAAGAATAATTGATAAATTACATATATGAAATAGCTAAAATTATAGAACAAAATTTAACTAAAATAAAGGATATAAATGATAATACGATTTAAATGAATGTAATCTCCCCCCCCCCCCCTTCCCCCTCCCAAACAAACAAACAAAAACGAAACAAAAACAAAAAAGCAAACCAAAACAAAACAAACCTTTAAAAAATGCACCCACTCCCCTAAAAATAAAAGTCAAAACAAATATTCTAATCAAAATGAACATACCATGGTATCTTCCGTCGACAGGAGATGAGCACGGCGATGAGAACGACGATAAGAACAAGGCCCAGACTGAGGCACACTGCCAGGACAATGATGGTGGAAGAGTCCAAGTCTAGTTTCTCCGCCACTTGGGAGCAATCTTCCCCTCCGTACACGTACTTGGAATCTGACTTGCACCTGTCAAGTGGGTGCAATAATAATAATAATAATAATAATAATAATAATAATAATAATAATAATAATAATAATAGTTACTTGCGGTGCAAATTAAGGTCAAGTTTAAATCTGCTTTAGGCACTTTTCCTGGACTCGTCTGGTTGTAAAGATGATGTCTCCTTTGTCCCTTATTGTGTGGCAGCCACACCGACCTTCTTGTAAGTCGTCACTCAAAGAGAGGTGCTTCAAAAGGCGAGTGAAAAGAATTCTGGCCTGGATCTTACCGGCAATAGACAAGAAGAATATACCTACCTCTGTGATAGTCACAAGATTACCTGTCACATTTGTTTTTGTACAGATGAATTATGGTTGCATACTTGCCCCCCTGGGGAATACTTCCACTTTCCCACGCTTGACAGTGTCTCACCTAGACAGTCTCCATCAATAGCTCAGTGTCTCAACAAGACAGTCTCCACCAATAGTTCTGTCCATGTCTCAACAAGACAGTCTCCACCAATAGTTCTGTCCATGTCTCAACAAGACAGTCTCCACCAATAGTTCTGTCCATGTCTCAACAAGACAGCTTTCACCAATAGTTCTGTCCATGTCTCAACAAGACAGCCTTCACCAATAGTTCTGTCCATGTCTCAACAAGACAGTCTTCACCAATAACTCAGTGTCTCAACAAGACAGCCTTCACCAATAGTTCTGTCCATGTAACAAAACAGTCTTCAACAATAGTTCTGTCCATGTCTCAACAAGACAGTCTTCAGCAATAGTTCTGTCCATGTCTCAACAAGACAGCCTTCAGCAATAGTTCTGTCCATGTCTCAAAAGACAGTCTTCAGCAATAGTTCTGTCCATGTCTCAACAAGACAGTCTTCACCAATAGTTCTGTCCATGTCTCAACAAGACAGCCGTCATCAATAGTTCTGTCCATGTCTCAACAAGACAGACTTCACCAATAAGATAGTACTTTATTATCCCAGAGGGAAATTTTCCTTGGCTGTACAGGACCGTAAAAACACATGCAGGTATACATAAAAAAAAAAAATTCAGTGTCTCAACAAGACGGTCTCCACCAAAAGCAAAAATACCTCTGCAGGAATAGAGTCCACACTCGGGGTCGTATTGGTACTATACAGGTACTGATGTAAGTTTTAATCACGCTAGTACAGTCGACTACAAATGTGTCGATGTCGTTGGAGAGTTAAAAAATATCAGCTCAACCGAAGTTCAACTTAACCGTTGGGGACCTTTAAAGAAAAAGATGCGGAGAGCTGAGAAAAAGATCGACTCAATCGAGGATCAACTCAAGCGAGTTCAACACAGGCGGAGTTGACTGTACCCTGATAATGGATCGATGAAGTCAAAGAGACTCGTCAAATCTCCCTTCGACACATTGCGTTATAATATTAGAGGACGGAAAAGGTAAATTAAAGAGAATGCTCTAGTTTTTAGCTACAGGCCTATACAAAAAACGGACTTATCTTGTTTTTCTTTTGACCACTTAATAATAATAATAATAATAATAATAATAATAATAATAATAATAATAATAATAATAATAATAATAATAATAATAATCGATAGATAGCATTTTTATAGCGCAAATCCCAGACCAACAGCAAGCTCTATGCGCTTCCCAATCTATACTATTACCCCAGCAGACCTGAGAGTATTCTAAAACAACCCCAACTTCCTGGAAAGCATGCAATGCAAACGGTCATTTATAGGCGCTAAAACACTAACATACAGACAAGATCTTTCACTTTCTATGGCCGGGTACCCATTCCCACCTGTGTGTATTGAGGAAAATTCGTATAATGTGCCTTTCCGAAGAACAAAATGTCGGGCCCTCGGCTCGAACTCCCGAACCCGCAACCTCACGATTACGAGTCCGGTAGCATTACTACTAGGCCACCGACGCCACTTCAAATAATCTTTAAAAAATTACTACAACGGTACCTGCATACTGCGAGTCGTGTTTGTTCACTGCTGTCTGCCTCGACCAGGCACTGGGCGTTGGGTGGACACAGGTGTGAGAAACACAGGTGTTGACAGGTGCGTGTGGTGGAGTTACACAGGTAGTCCGCACTCTGGCACACGTTCTCCGCCTCACAGATGTCGCTCTCCAGCCTCTCGGCCTTGGCCACGGCTGTCAACACAAACGTCAGGCATAGTGAGGGAATCAGACGCTCGTCAAAAGGAGGAAATCGAAGAAACGACCATTTTTGGGCCAGGTGGGAAATTAACATCATTTTAAAAATATTTTTAAAAGGGCTCAGCACCTTTTATGTCCACTCAAAAATACATTCCTGTGTGAATTTGTTGAAAACATCTAGATCAAAAGCATAAAAATGTAAATTCGCAGTTTTTAAGGACGCTAACGCTTTAGAAGACATCAGTCATTTGCCATATTTTTCTGGCTTATTTTACTACGACCCCTACCTCCCCCAATAGCAAATATCTCGACTTCTATTCAATATAGATGGGTATTTTTTCATCAATAGCAAGGCAAATGAACACACTTTAAAATTACACCAATAGCTCCATATGCTCCAAAATTGACGAGAGCCTGATTCCAGCGTGAAGTAACACAATGGTATATCAAGGGCGTCTTGGACAGGGTCATTATGATATAAAAACATTTTGGGGAAGTGGGAAGTGGCCGTATGTACAGGTTCGACAGTATTTGAAAAAATATGTTTTCTTGTTTGTTTTAGGTAAGGTTTTTCGGCGCTCGCAACTGCTCAATCAAGTCATATGAGCGCCAAGGGGTGGGTGTCAACAGAGAAGTCCAAACGGGGAATCAGGCTTACTCTGCTCACCTCTTTAGCCTCAACTGCACAAAGTCTGCTTCGACTATCAAGGTAACCTGGAAATAGCAGTGTACAAGAGAGTGACAAACATACAGAAGAAGTAAAGGAAAAATGACGATAGTAAGGATGCGGAAAGAAAAAGCAGCAGTTACCCCTATGTAGTTCCGGCACAGTATGAGCATGACATTGATAAATCATTATAAATGCATAGGAACATGTTAATGTCCCCCCTTTGGGAATGGCGTAAAGACAACTTCGGTCAATTACACTGCCCTGGGGAGGGGAGGGGGGATAAGTTCTCTTCTTGGGAATCAAGTTCCCGTCTTGTGCGTGCAAAGGTGAAAAGTTTACCGTGACTTCATAGACACTAGTATGATATATATTATATTATATCACACTTAAAGATCTCTTAGGGGCCCAAACTCGACAAGAGTAGGCTTCGGCCGCCACCAGGGCAAAATTCAAAATGGCCTACCAACTGAAAATGTTTAATG